TTGACCTGCGTATTATGAATATTTATCAGTTCTGTAAGTTTCAAGCCAAAAAGTAAAATGGTTTTCCACTTATCATGTTATCGGTGCTGCATTTATGCTGAAAAAAGAGAAAAAATAGCCTAAATTCATTAAAAATGACCCAATCACGCTGATTTTCGAACTTTACCTGCGTATTATGAATATTCATCAGTTCTGTAAGTTTCAAGCCAAAAAGTAAAAACAGTTTTCCACTTATCGTGTTATCGGTGCTTCATTTATGCTGAAAAAAGTGAAAAAACAGCATAAATTCCCTAAAAGTGACCCGATCATGCTGATTTTCGAACTTGACCTGCGTATTATGAATATTCATTAGTTCTGTAAGTTTCAAGCCAAAAGAAAAAACAGTTTTCCACTTATCGTGTTATCGGTAAAAGTGCACGGCGACGGCGACGGCGACAGCGACGGCGACGACGGCGACGACAGACGCATATGACGGCTATATGTACAGACACATCTGTGTCTGTACATAAAAAACTACAAATACATTCAAAAAGTTTAAAATGCTGTTTTTTATCACTGCGCATTTACAATTATTTTTAATTCCTCGAATAAGATTAACATATCTACTAAGTTTTCAAAACTATCTGCCGGTGTACAGTCTATATGTAAATTCAATTAAACAAAACTGAAAAGAAAGTCTATTACAACCTTGTGAGAACGACTCCGTTAAACTACATTTTACGCCCCTATTATCAATGAACATCAAGATAAATATTTCTGAATCTTCAAGTTTTTCTCATTAACTATATTCTATATTTTACACATCATCTCACGGAAAGCGTTTCAGTGTCTATATGGTAATATATTCTATCCGCAGGGAGAGACCGCCTACATTCACACGCCCTTCTCACGCCCCGCTTGTATCGAGACGTAAAAGGCAGATGCTCACCGTTCGTGTAATTTCTCGTCGTTTTATTCAACACGCACTTAGCTAATTGGAAGTCTATAATTGATGTTAAGTTTACTATTCACAATCAATCTTTAATGTGGCCTGTAGACCACAAGAAGCTTGCTGGATATTGAATTAGACCGCTCCTTGGCTGGTGACGTGCGGAATATATATTCACGCTTTCGTGCACGGAAACGTGGACTATGTGCGTGGAAAGTTCGTTGACACTTGCACGAAAACAAACCCATTTTATTGGTTCAAGGTTGACAATAAACACGAGTACATGCCAATTGACTGCAGGAACAAGAAAGACACGTCATTTCTGATATTTGCGTTCCTGACTTTAGAGATGTTACGGTGATAAGCACCTACCTGTGTTGATATTATCTGTACCCAACGCTTGCAAAACTTGAAGAAGGTTCTGTTTTTCCTTTTGGACCGTCTTTGCTACACTGTTATCGCTCAATATTGTGTATCATAAAACAACTCACAGCCTCTTCTTTTACGCCGTTCGCTTCACCTGCAACAAGAAGAAGCGGTTTTAAAAAAAGGTGAGCAACAAGCAACTAGGGCGTATGCATTCACTACCCCGTGAAGCCACAGGTGCAACAAATGCGATAAAACTTACCAAAACTTTCTTTTTTGGAGGGTTTCAGAAAATGCGTTGGCTTAAAACTAAGAAAATAAGCCGTTATCAGCCCGTGTCTTTGGGTTCTAATTACAAATTTGAGCAGGTTTTATGTATAAAGAAAAAAAAAGGACATGCCAAAGTAAATAATCAAAGACACCAGTAACTAGTGTAAGAAATCAACGCTTCACTCCTCCGAGCTATTACAGCCCCAGAGGTGACTCTGCCAACATGTGCAGTGTTCAGGGATAAAATGTATGAAAACCCTTTTTTATTGAGCAAAATAATCTTACTGGATCTGTTTTCAAGATATCATGGATTTGAGCGATAAGCAACAGAAAATAAGCATATCAAAAGATAGTCACATAAACAATTTTATCGAAACGAATATTGTTTTTTTTATATTTTCTTCATGGCAGTAAGATGATTATATAAGTGTATTGTATACGGCCACATGTCTCGTATATATAATATACATAAAAATTGTAATTTTGTGTGTAGGGCTATTTGTTTTTCATCAATAAAGTTAAAAACATGCCCCGTAATTCCTGTTGTATGAGAAGGAATACGTTCATACAGTAGCCGGCTGGAATCTATGAGTATTTTTTCTGAGGGAGAACACGACTATTTTAATGCACGGTTTATCTTTTTCGCGTTATATACTCAAACGAATCGGATAATAATATTTCCTGATCTTTGGTAGGGCTACATTAAATAAATACGTCTACATTTAAAAGCTGTCGCCCCTCCAGGCATCCAAACGCGAACTGTTCCCTTCGCTTCAGTAACTTTAAGTGGTGTAGAGAGATACAAAGAAACGCAAATACGCGATTTCGTAAGACATGATTGCCAGTTTAACGGGCCGGTTAATTACGTTGATAGGTGGAGGAATTCATCGGTCGGCGACCAAGCAGAGGTTAAGCGATGAGAGAGATACCGCCTCAAGCGCTGAAACCATCCTCTGAGGTATTTACTAACGATCAATTTAAAAGGGATACGTATAATCTGTCCTAAGAGAGAATGAGGATACCGCCCGCTGCTCGGTTTTGCGTATAGTGATTCGCGTGCGCGAGGGCGCGTTGAAATTTTAATAATCCAAGATGTCCGTCAGTTAACGTCGCTGCATTACATATACCGCAAGCTTAGCAGAGCAAAGTAACGCTATTACGCTTCCCAACATGGGCATAATGTTACCAAATCGCTTACCGTATCTGATGAAAATAACGAAAAAGGTAAAAAAAAAAAAAAAGCAAAGTCAAGTGAAGTGTTGCACACTTCCTGCGGTTCTGTGAGTATTTAGTAGTAAAAAGATAAACGTGGCGGGAGCAAAATCATCAAGCAAGTAAAGGAAGCTCCCTTTAAACATTTGGAAATCACATGCTGGGGAAATGAATTCGGTATGCAAGGCAGAAGCTGCAGCTACCAGGTGTTACACAGCAGTTTTGTGAATAGGAACATATTTCTGTACTAATTTTTTCTGCTTTTAATCAATAGGCGCTTGCATAATAAAATACTGAGTAAATTAAATTTGAAATATGAAACATCGACAAGAATGCAGTGGCAACACTGGAAACGTAAATACGACGTAGAAGTACTTAAATCTAACACCTAAAAGCACTTTAAGTTCCATCTTTCACACGCTCGGCCGGGCAATGTGTGTTCGTGGAATTTTAACCAACGAGATTACGTAATAACATTATGCTTGTTATAACAAGAAACTAGTGGAGGTTATCGAAACAAAATGTCTGAAATATAAACAGTACTTAAAAAAACTTTTCTATACATATATTTGAGAGAGAGCAAGAGAGAGGAGAAAAAGGGAGAAAGCATAACAATTTCACTTTCCATATAACTTTAACAGCACCTTATGAATTAAAAAAAAATATAAAGACAAAAAACGTCGTTTTACCATCAGTAGAAGCGTACATTTTCGCTTTTTTGCATAAATGTAAGACTTTGCTCATTAAGAAAAAATTTATTTTTTCCATCGAACACTGACTTAGAGTACCGGTAAATGTGAGAATATCGTATGAACAATACGGGTGATACCTTACTTTAATACATTGCACAACCACTATAGGACACGTACGTCGTATGTTACCAACTAAACACTGATGCCGATATGTAAACTTTCACATTTCAGTAAAATTCAGCACATGCCCACTTTAATTAAATGTGCTGTTAACACAAATCGTCATTTTAATCAACGTCATTTATGACAAATCAAAGTAAGGTGAAACCTGGGGATAAATTGGTACGTTTAAAATCAGGTGCATCCCGTCACATGCTGGCCACGATGGATTAGTCTACATACGACTGTTGTTTCCCCTACAGCGGGACACTTCATCCAGACACATAAAACGGTGAGTTTCCCTAGAGCACCTAGGGGATTTCTCGGAATCAAGGAACCAAGACCCACGCGCTGTCTGAAGGTGAGCGCGTTCTGAACTGAACTGACGAGAACTGAGGAAATACACGTCTCATGGCAGACAAGGTTATCAGTACACAGACCGTGTCGATAATTTGTCGCTGTGGTTTAACAAGGCTCCTATCAGTACGCCATGTCTGTTTCTTAGTGTCCTGCACAACCCAAAGGACTTCCCCTGGATGCACATTAACTAGAGGAGGAAGACCTCAGGCGAACTTTTTGACAACCTGTACTTGTATTCTGAGACAGGATGGAGAGTTGATGCAGCACCCCTTAACACACACTCATACACACACAAACACATAAATACGCGCAAACGCAAACGCAAGCACACACACACATACACGTTAACACACGCACACACACAAACAAACGTAATCGCGCGCACACACACACACACAAACACAAAAACATGCACACGTGCACACACACACACACACACACACACACACGGTCAAGGTTATTACATCGACGATTTAAGTCACTACCTCGCTTCACTTATGAGAATGATTTCAAGAGTTAGACATCAATTCACTAATTTGGCCTCGGCGCCCACTTCACGTTATCTAAGATCCTCTGATTCAATAAAAACTGCAAGTCACTTCCCCGATCTTAATTAAGTTGCTTTGGCATAGGGAAATTGCCAAGCATGTGGTGAAATTCATCCGCTTGTCAATATTAAGGTGAAATATTATTAAAACTGATAGAGTAGAAAGGTATATCGTTATCTTAAAAATTGACTCTAGAAACTAAGCAAATTTTAAGTACCTCTAAAACTGGGAGCAGATTCGTCCAAAGCAATATTCCGATAAATACCAGTAGCAATACCTTTCAAGTGCATAGAATTAAGGATCACGCCAACATATCTCAGCTGTTGGGAGTCAACAAGGATGTCACTAAAACGCGCAGTAATATAGTGGCACTGGCGAACATTTGCCCTTGTGATCGCCATTCAGAAAACCCTTACAACCGTAATAACTTTGCATAGCTTTGACATATTTCCTTTTCCAGAAATTCCTCAAACACAATTCCACGCTCTCAAATGTCCTGAACAAAAAGACATCTCCGTCTTAAAAAAAGACTACACCTGCGGATTTAGAACATCAAAAAACTCATTGCCACTGTAAGGAATAACAAGTTACTATTACCCTGACAACGTAAAATAACATCAGTAATTCAGTCTGTTGGATCCATTGGGTATGTCACTTAATGGAACATTTTAAAATTCAATTATTTTCAAAACAGATTTTTTTCATAATATTGTTGTACACATATAAATGAGGTTGCTTTTAATTTGAGCAAGACTTATATATGCACATGTTGCAAACAGCTACACCCATACTTAAAAAGGAAATAATAAAGAAAAAAACAGAAATCATAGTTACCAGCTAACGACAGTGACAGGAAACTATTGCCTTTTTTATCCTCCTAATATTCTGCGGTCTGCACTTACTTCCTGCAGCGGTTGATAAATGAAAACTATGATATTCAGCTGAAAAAACAGCTCTTACGAGGCGGTTCGGCTTAGAAATTAAAATATTTTGTCACTGGAACCATCACAAACTAAAATCAGTCTCAGTCGATATCATGTGAAGCAGAATTTGAACTAATATTTCTTTTAACATATATTTAAGTATATATTAATTATCATAATAGCAGTTATATTTGAACAATTCGAAGATGCGGCAAAGAAAACATCTGCTATCTTGCCTACCTTATCGGCTGGGGAAGTAAATCATCTCTAGATGATCGCTAAGCAAGCAGAACGCACACAATAATCTCTTTTTCAAATTCTCTCTTCTATGAGCCTCTCAGGTAAAAGTAGCACGTGATTACTGACACGTGGTGGCCCCCGGAAGAGAAAGTGAACACTTGAAGAACTCTTCCATTCATCCTACCTAAACTTGAGTGAGTTTTTATGAATATATAATTTAAATTAACCCCCAACCCAAACTATTCACTGGTAAAGATCAAACTAAGTTTCAATACGGACAAAGTCAAATCACTCGGTAAGGAAGCTAAATGGGATGTAATTATAGAAGCTATCCTCATCAAAAGGCTGAGCAATCGCCTGAGCAAAGACGCAAGGTGACGCTGACTTTCACTCCCTGAAATATAATACCAGCCTGGGACGAAAATAAACCACCTCCGGCTCCACCTCGATCATAGCGCCACCAAGCGTCTACAAACTGATCAAGATCAACTGACTCTATCATCTCTCAAACCATTGCAGTATCTTCATAAACAATCAGGGAAGTCATTAAGCTTACTTTCCGACCAGACTGAAACGCTTCTGTCAATTTTAACATTATTTTAAAGAAAGAATAGTCATGTTTAGCTCAGTGTCGTTGATTGGATGCCAGCAAGTTTACCTTCTTGCCAGTATTGGAACACAAACATTTACTTCAGACATCCAGAGGAAAAGGTGTGATAAAATAAATATTCATATATATTTTGATGTGAC